TTAACACTGTCATCACATTGTTGTCATCGGCCAATGATTTAAACCTTTTGTTAAAATCGGAAAATTTATGACTTTTTCTGATATTAGAGGTTTAATTTGAATTAATAGTGAAAAGTCGTTTCTCTATCTATCGAGTGCCCATAAAACAGGTTCTTTGTCAACAATACGTTGTCATGGTCAACTGAACACTTGCTTTGATCTGCCAAGCGTCAAAAGGATACAGTTTCATAATGTACTATCGCCGTCTTAAAAATGTAAATCATACATATTTTTTGTTTACACGATAAATTTTATGATGTGTAACATCAGTAGCAACGTGGATTTTATGTGACAATTTCTTGACGGTCGTTGTCTCTTGTCCCTCGCCCATGTTTGACCAGCGGCAGGTGACTTTCATAACGACGATGTAGTTAGCTCCTGCGTGATAACGTTCCACAATACAGTCAAGCATGGCATTTAATACATATTATGGACTCAGATTGAAGTGTATTGTAGTTTTATATCTCCTGTTAACAGACTTTCTATTATTCACCGTAGAAAAGCGAACAATTTTCTGGCATATTAAATATGCCATTCTAGAATTTACATCCATATATACCTCTACCCTCGGCACAAGTAAGGGTTTGTATTGAGTAAAGCTGGGATTACTTCCTCGAAACAAAACACCTCTTGACCTGAAATTGAGACAAACATATACGTCTAATAGGATGTATAAACTATAGTTGGAACAGGTTGAACATATAAAAGTGTTATGATTAAGACCACACAGGACCGTAGTTTCTTTGTACAAATTAATTATTTTTCGTGAGAATGATATTTTTGCGCGAATTTAGGTTGATTCCCTCTTGCAATACTGGCATTCAAAATGCATATAACAGAATATTTAGATTCTATCCTAGCATTTTAAGATATTCGTTGCATTAATATCATTGGAACAAATTTAACTCTTTTTCGGAAAATGTATACCATATACCATATTGTTGTTAAACAATTAACTATATACAAAAAAGCTTTTTGTTAAAATGAGTTAGTCACCAGCTACTACAAGACTTCCATCTCAAATTTACCCTGACTGTTGACAGCAGCAAATCCTACAAACAAATAGAACTGAATTTTGTGTAGCTATCAACTGTGCCATGTGTGTAAATGCTATCTAAATAAGGTTTTGAATGTGGAACTCTTTAAAATGAAGATAGGTTGCAGTATGTTAGCATATTTCCTTAATGTATATATCTAAGAAATTCCGAAGTGTCATTATAAACTGCGAGCATGGTTTCACATTCTAATCGGAAGAAAATGTGTGTATTTGTCAATTAGTGATAAAAGTCGACAGAAATGAAAATACGAACACTGTGTCGCTGTGCTGTGAAATCTACTTCTATATTAACGCCAAGCTCTTTGTTATCAAGAACATAATAAGACACAGAAATTTTATATTTAGTTACAACGCTGTAGACTAAGTGTACAAAAAGAATGTGATGATACGATATAAGGGGCGTGTCCAGGCTTTCCTGTGTAAAGTGTGATTGTTCAAAATATGATGTGATACCAAGAATATATATATTAATTGGGCAGATAGGGAAAGTTAAATTTCTGTCATTCGGCTTAAATTTGCGTCCTCGTTACATTTCTGGAATGTTCCAACAACATTACACATTATCTTAATTTCATTTCATTCCAAAGTTATCGAGTTATTTAATACTTAGATATCTAGTGAAGTAAACTGGCGTATTAACATGGGAACAATGTTCGTCTGTTAGGATCTGAAATAGATAGGATGAAAACACAACTCTAAGAGAGTCGTCACATTTACACGCCCAAACCTACTTATGAATACAAGTATGCGATACTACAACTGATGATCAATTATGAAAACGAGTTACTTCAAAATGACTGGAGACAGAACCACCAAAATGTTTTGTGTTTATTTTTTTTGTTTGCTGTTGTTGTACATGAAATTCTATAATGAGCTTAATCCCTCCTTTTTAATAATATTTTTTGATGGGCGGGGTGGGGTGGGGTGGGGTCGGGGGGATGGGGATGGGGGTGGGAGTGGGGGTTGGGGTGGGGGTGGGGTTTGTTTTGCTTTGTCATTGGTTTGAGTTTTTTTCAGTATTATTGTCTCGTTTTTTTCCATTCCGCCTTTGAGTTTTGAATTTCAACTATTTTTATTCATTCATACTGACAATGAGGAAAGAGAAATAGGTACATATACATCCAAAGTATCAGAATAAAGTAATGACATATGTAACCAGCGGATATTTCAATATAAGTAAAACGAAAGTACTTATACTAGGAAATATATACTCGTATATGTTATCTATACTCAATAAAAAACATGTTTGTAGAAGAAAGTTTGTATTTATGTCCCAGATTGATCAGAAAACGTGATCCCTTAAGATGAAACAGGTTCCCACAATTGAACCCGTTCACATTATACAGTCGCCTTGCCTATATAAATGTGCTTGAGGACGGAACCAACGTACAGCGGATAAGCCTACCAACGCCCAAATCTAATTTCCTAAATAATCACTTATAATTCTCTTCCTTCACCGCTGTAATTATTTCTATCTTTAATGAGATTTTTTCCTGCTCCCACTTTTCCCGTTTTCATCAAATCCCTATTGAGAATCACATTATTCATGCAAAACTCATGTTAACGTTTAGCCCTGCCTTTGATGAAAATAATTATAACGGACAGTAAACTTCATACGAACATCGATCTGAATGAAAAAAATGACTAAGTGTTGAACTTTTATTATGTTCTGGGATTTACTGCTAATTAATGGGGCACAACTAAGGAAAAAACGGTTGTTAATAAAGGAAGTGTATATACTTTGTCTGAACTAAATGAAGTAAAACGTAATTTTGATGTATTGGGAAGATACTTAATGTTCTTAGAGGTTGGAGCATTGTCGTATGGGTGAAGTCGGCGTTTAACACTGTTTTACAGCGAAACATAACACGTGTAGAAAAAGATACAACACGTGTAGATAGTGCCATGTAGGCAGTATAACATAACACGTGTAATCATGCAACATTACAAGTGTAGCCAGTGTAATACAGCGTGAAGATAGTGCAACACAACACGTGTTGTCAGTGTAATACAAATAGTGTAACACAACACGTGTAGTCAGTGTAGTATAACGTGTAGATAGTGTAACGCAACACGTGTAGTCAGTGAAATACAAATAGTATAACACAACACGTGTAGTCAGTGTAATATAGCGTGTAAATAGTGTAACACAACACGTGTAGTCAGTGAAATACAGCGTGTAGATAGTGTAACACAACACGTGTAGTCAATGTAATACAAAAGGTGTAACACAACACATGTAGCCAGTGAAATACAGCTTGTAGATAGTGTAACACAACACGTGTAGTCAGTGTAATATAGCGTTTAGATAGTGTAACACAACACGTGTTGTCAGTGTAATACAGCGTGTAGATAGTGTAACACAACAGGTGTAGTCAGTGAAATACAAATAGTGTAACACAACACGTGTAGCCTGTGTAATACAGCGTGTAGATAGTGTAACACAACACGTGTAGTCAGTGTAATATAGCGTGTAGATAGTGTAACACAACACGTGTTGTCAGTGTAATACAGCGTGTAGATAGTGTAACACAACAGGTGTAGTCAGTGAAATACAAATAGTGTAACACAACACGTGTAGCCTGTGTAATACAGCGTGTAGATAGTGTAACACAACACGTGTAGTCATTGTAACACAACACGTGTAGTCATTGTCGCAGAACACGTGTAGCCATTGCAACACAACACGTATAGTCACTGTAACGCAACACGTGTAGTCATTGTAACACATCACGTGTAGCCATTGTAACACAACTCGTTATAACATTTAAAGTTCAACATGTTCTATATATCCGTACCTAAATGACCTTTCCATAAGTCCCATACGTTTTTCCAATATTTGTACCTGTGATAATGAACTGGCGATATACGATGTAAAGCTATTGGAGGGATCACACCTAATATGGGCGATACGATTAGATGTCTGACCTTATTTGACCTTTATCTACAACTGTACAGAAAGAAAATGGCGTTTAAATCAAAATTCGATGAATCACTCTTTGTTATGTGTTAATGTTTCGACATCTACAACAACTTTCGTAAGCACCTGTAGATATCGAACGTTGATAACAAACTAAGGAAACAACATCTCCGTGTTTTTATCGCCGGTTTTTTGTCATTTAAAATTTTAAATAAAATGTTCACAGGAAATACTTTATGCCCCAGGTTATACAATAAAATTACTCCTCACAACAAACTACTAGCTTAATGTACGGTTAAAGTGTTTCTGGCAACGGCGGGAGATACTAAGGGCAGATAATTCCTCACTGTAGATAAATACACGGCATGTGGCGCTGTGAAAGATTGTTATGCAATACGAATAAAATATATCTTTCGATAAGAGTTTTCGGGGGTAGTGAAATGGGGGATATTGAAATTAAACATTCGGCTAACCTCGGCTGATTTCGATATATTTTTCGAAGTTATCATAACCCGAGCGCTAACCATTACCAGGCTCAGGTTGTTCCATCTCATTCTGATGAGGGGAAACATAATTATGTACATATGTATATACATGTACCAATAGCAACAACGAGTATTGCGTCCACATGATGACACTTAGCAGTCGACAGAGTATCACTGCTTTGGTTTGACCACAGGAAAGTGTTGGTGCTCTAGCTGTCTAGACATGCACCTCTTAAATTTCGTTTCTCTGCAAATACACATTACAATTTACTAAGTAATCAACGTGAGTTCGATCTATCTATATAATGTAGTTAGACGTAATCTCTATGCAAAATGTACTTTACCTCGAAGTGGGCCAATGACGTAGTTACGGAATCGACCGAGATACGACGAGTGGCAAACATTCCGGAACAAGATATATGTACCGGGAAAAACCGAACTTTACCGAGCGTTGAAAGTTATTATCATGTACACTTATGAATATATTTATGTGTTGCAGGTTCCGGGGATGTCTGAAGCAGTCTGTTTCGCCAATGGCCAGTCTCATAGGGAGGATTTACTTCAACATCATGGGTTCGAAATGTTTTACGGTAAAGATGGAGGATGTGTGCGTCCGGCGATCGTGGTGGGGTCGATGTGAAAAATACGAACAAAAGAAATCTGTCCAAATAGAGGAGCAGGAACCATACAATTACTGTGACAGTAAATAGAACGGCACGGGTCTCTACCAGGAGGCCAAGAAGTGGACATACAGTGTCCGTCGGTTTAACACTGGCAAGTTGTGAAACGGGTCTTTCTGTAGGGACAACACTTTCGGGCGACATGGTTCCTACTGAGAGGACGAACAACGGGGTCCTATTGCTTGGTCGATATGTGAGAGGGTCTTGATGGAATATTAGTATGCGACTACAGGGTAGAGTGTTATGAAATTGGGTTCCACAGAATTTACTTATGTAGGTTTCAAATTGTTGAAAAGGGAGGGAAAAGTTGCTGGGGAGCAGTCGATCTGTGGAATTGACAAAGACGAAGACATTTTTTTTCGCCGTGGGTAAAGAAGAAAGAATATATAACTTATTTTCCGAGTTTTTAAACAAAATGGAATACAGGTCCCTGGTGTGTGGAAATTGGAATTGGGGGCAAAACGGACATTGAGAATTTGACAGCATTATAAAACAAATCAACAGATTTTATCGCGAACGTTGTTTGCTGACTAAGGACGGGCGGCTGGACGGACGGACGGACAGGATGTCCACTATGACTGTCAAAACAATTGATCGATATCAAAATGACATGAAAATGGCATTCGCTTGTTAAGTAGGTTGTAGGGTTTGGAATGATAAAATACATTTTCATATTGTGCTAATTTAAATTCGCTGAGCATATATGAAAGATCGAATAGGTCGAATAATGACGTCACAATGAAAACGTGTATCGGCCACAATTAGATTTCAAATTTCAAAGAGAAACAAGTCGACAAATCGAAGATCCGGCTTATGTGAAACCAAGTGGTCTTGCTTTCTAGTACTTGAATGTATAATGTACCAGTATAGATTTTATCAGACAGACAATTTTATTGCAGCTTTACAAAACTGTGCACATTATCGGTGAGTTTATCTTGGCATCTACCTTACGTTTTTGGAAAGGGAAAAGAAATATAGCTAATTCACTTACAATCAAAACTATCTCATGATTCTGAGTACCTGCATCTCCAATGCTCCAGTGTTGTAAATATATATTAATTGAAATGTTTACAGAGTAGGTAGATTTTATCGCCGTTATTCATGTACTCTTAATGGCCTCTGTGAACGAGAAGATATCCATTTCAATTACACAGTGTGTATTTCATCACTGATCGTAACCCCGTCACATCTAACATAATCGCTTCCTCGCCTGACTCACCCAGTATAACTTGGGTATCATTTACACCTAACACCGCCCAGGTTTCATTTTACGGTAACACCGCCTGGTGTCTCGCTCTTGCAGACGCTTGTAACGCGTGTGATTTCGGGGATTTTTTTCGGAACAAACAGAGGAAAAGGCTGCTTGAAAATGTACATACATAGAAAACTGTGAAACATTATGTAAATATACCAATTTATTAAATGTCTTATCAAATGTGAGCGGAAACTTGTACGGGTATTTTTAAAGTTAAAAGTTACGGGCATTTGTCATAGGACCCAAACGACACAGGCTGCAGAGTAGCTGTTTCCGATTTGAGGTCCGTCTAGAATCGCCCGACAGTGAACGAAAATTACATGACACCCATTTGATGTACGTAATCATAGTTGTATGATGTCAGTAAAATATTAATTTTCGCGAATACTTCTTTTAAAAAAATGATGGCTCGAAAAAGACATTGATCAACGTTAATACGTCTGCTTAAACCGATGTTTGATTAAAATGACTCGAAATTTGCTGACATCTGAATACATCATTCGCCTAAAGACCGGTTTGCCATCATTGAACCTGCAATTAAACGCCATTCTTTCTTATCTGTCGTAGTTTTATAACTGTTCTATACGACAAAGATTTGAGACATAAATAAAATGATAAATTCATGAGGCTTGTATCGGATTCCGAAAAGGCAGTGTACCGAGTATAATATGTAAAAGCAGGTTTCATCTAACGTGTTTCGCTTAACAAGTTACTTCTTCGTATTCACGATCGTCTTTCCTCTTGAACTTACACTAAGGTTATCTGCTACTGACAATAAAATATGTTTAAATCAAATCACTAAAATAATGGCTCGCGAAAATTGACAATTTTACAGTATATGTTTTGTTCTATTTATATTTTTGATCCCCTCTGTTTTATTCCGGTATCGTGTACATAATATGTATCACCATTTCAGTGTATGATAGTTACCCATTTCTAATGTATACAGACAAATAAACCGTACATAAATCATGAATAAAGACTCGTTTGTTGTCTTTAATCACGTGCCAGGCTGATACAGTACATACACCGGATGTATTGATTATATCTTTCTGTATCGGAAGCGGAAGTTGACAAATGATAAACCGGAATTTCTTATTTAGCACAGCTTGTATACTGCATCTACAATATTTACCCACACAAATGACACATATGAACATCCTTTCATTACAGTTGAAGTGTTGAAGTTATCTAAATTACAATAAAGCAATTTTTATCTACAAAAAAGGAAAAAAAAAAGCCACTGAATATCAGTTAAATCCTTACAATTACTTCGAAAGTCTTGTTCGATGTTACACAATTTGTAAAAACATATATAATCATCTTTAACTATTAATTTTTCATTTAATTTGATATTTAAACATCTTCACTTCATCTCCAGGGTTCTCCTTATTCTTCACCAAAGCTGAATTTAATGGCATTTCTTCGTTTCTAAGACAACGGATACCTAAAATGTGATTTAGGATAAAAAAAGTTCAACGATGAACTATGCATACTTATAGATTACACAAGGAGAACATATACTTTGTTGTAAACATTATCATTGTAAAATAAATAACGCTTAAAATGTGTAACTATTTTCCTTTTGATTTCTCAATTGGGTTTCACATTCCACGTTGATTCTTTTACTTATAAACAAACATTTTTGTATACCTATATAGAGTTACAGCCCAAGGGAGACTACTCGTGAAAGTATAGTGTTTTCTTTTCGTCACTTAACTTTACCGGGTATAGTGACCAAAAGATTTGAACGTTTGAATTCCATGTAAGATCTTTCGTCCACAGAAGAAGTTAGACCATTTATTTCAGATCAATCAACCCTTAAAACTACTTCATGTCTAAAATAAAATTAAAACAAAGATATAAAAATAAATACCACGTAAAGGGATTTGAACGGGTATGTTGAATACCGTGTCCAAGATTTAAACTGGACACCATCCTGGTCACGACACCATTCTATGATAATAGAACATGCATTGTAACATATGGGGTCCTGAACGATGCAGAAATTATTAATATTCTTTGCTTTCAGGTAGACAGTTATTAACATAATACATTTATTTTCGTCGCTACAAGTGGGTGGAGCTGTAAATTTTACAACAAGAATATATATGAAACTTCATACACTTGTACGTAATACGATGTTGTGTCATATTCTATATCTTGCCGCAGGACATTTTCGTTGTGTGAGTCACAGAAATGATTCAAGGACCCGGAGATTTCGTTCTATATTTGATGACTCACATATCAATCAACACTTTGTATATTTTACCAGACTGTGCTATTGCACAATATCACACGATAAACCCGTAAATAAAAAATCTGATTTTATTACATGATATGGTTGAGACTTATTTCATCCTTGATAGTTAAAAAGTTAAAAATACATTACAAGAAAATTGAGATTTGACAGGATCTTGGCATCCTACGAATCTTTAAATCCTAAACGCTATAGTTCCAGTTAAGGACAAAACAGGTAAATTAAATTGTAACGCTCATGTTCAATGTGCACATGAACAGATATGAACTAAAGAATATATATACATGTATATATATCAATATATATATACTTTAGTTCCATCTACGGACGAATAGACGCACATATATTCACAACACTTCAGTTCCATCTACGGACGAATAGACGCACATATATTCACGACACTTCGGTTCCATTTACGAATGAATAGATACACGATTCGAATAAACTAAGACCTTAGTTTACGATATAGCTGATGTAGAACGTGCTAACAATGTATGAAATACTTGTAGTATACAATTATGATTGCATTTAATGTTTATTTATAAGCGAAATGGCAATCTTGTTATACGTGTTGGCTTGGGGGAAACAATATTTTTACTGTGTCATATACTTTGTAAATCCTTGCGAAAATCATAATTTTATTTAAAGATTGTACAAAAGACACACAATTGAATAACATCTTTTAATACAAATTAAGAACTAAATAATTAAACTGTATCATACAGCTGTTTCATCCATGTATAACTCATCAGTGATGCTACACCATACAGCTGTTTCATCCATCTATAACTCATCAGTGATGTTATATCATACAGCTGTTTCATCCTTCTATAACTCATCAGTGATGCTACATCATACAGCTGTTTCATCCATCTATAACTCATCAGTGATGCTACATCATACAGCTGTTTCATCCATGTATAACTCGTCAGTGATGCTACATCATACAGCTGTTTCATCCATGTATAACTCGTCAGTGATGCTACATCATACAGCTGTTTCATCCATGTATAACTCATCAGTGATGCTACACCATACAGCTGTTTCATCCTTCTAGAAATCGTCAGTGATGCTACATCATACAGCTGTTTCATCCATGTATAACTCGTCAGTGATGCTACATCATACAGCTGTTTCATCCATCTATAACTCATCAGTGATGCTACATCATACAGCTGTTTCATCCATGTATAACTCATCAGTGATGCTACATCATACAGCTGTTTCATCCATGTATAACTCATCAGTGATGCTACATCATACAGCTGTTTCATCCATGTATAACTCATCAGTGATGCTACATCATACAGCTGTTTCATCCATGTATAACTCATCAGTGATGCTACATCATACAGCTGTTTCATCCATCTATAACTCATCAGTGATGCTACATCATACAGCTGTTTCATCCATGTATAACTCATCAGTGATGCTACATCATACAGCTGTTTCATCCATCTATAACTCATCAGTGATGCTACATCATACAGCTGTTTCATCCATGTATAACTCATCAGTGATGCTACATCATACAGCTGTTTCATCCATCTATAACTCATCAGTGATGCTACATCATACAGCTGTTTCATCCATCTATAACTCATCAGTGATGCTACATCATACAGCTGTTTCATCCATGTATAACTCATCAGTGATGCTACATCATACAGCTGTTTCATCCATGTATAACTCATCAGTGATGCTACATCATACAGCTGTTTCATCCATCTATAACTCATCAGTGATGCTACATCATACAGCTGTTTCATCCATCTATAACTCATCAGTGATGCTACATCATACAGCTGTTTCATCCATCTATAACTCATCAGTGATGCTACATCATACAGCTGTTTCATCCATCTATAACTCATCAGTGATGCTACATCATACAGCTGTTTCATCCATGTATAACTCATCAGTGATGCTACATCATACAGCTGTTTCATCCATCTATAACTCATCAGTGATGCTACATCATACAGCTGTTTCATCCATCTATAACTCATCAGTGATGCTACATCATACAGCTGTTTCATCCATCTATAACTCATCAGTGATGCTACATCATACAGCTGTTTCATCCATGTATAACTCATCAGTGATGCTACATCATACAGCTGTTTCATCCATCTATAACTCATCAGTGATGCTACATCATACAGCTGTTTCATCCATCTATAACTCATCAGTGATGCTACATCATACAGCTGTTTCATCCATCTATAACTCATCAGTGATGCTACATCATACAGCTGTTTCATCCATGTATAACTCATCAGTGATGCTACATCATACAGCTGTTTCATCCATCTATAACTCATCAGTGATGCTACATCATACAGCTGTTTCATCCATCTATAACTCATCAGTGATGCTACATCATACAGCTGTTTCATCCATCTATAACTCATCAGTGATGCTACATCATACAGCTGTTTCATCCATCTATAACTCATCAGTGATGCTACATCATACAGCTGTTTCATCCATCTATAACTCATCAGTGATGCTACATCATACAGCTGTTTCATCCATCTATAACTCATCAGTGATGCTACATCATACAGCTGTTTCATCCATCTATAACTCATCAGTGATGCTACATCATACAGCTGTTTCATCCATCTATAACTCATCAGTGATGCTACATCATACAGCTGTTTCATCCATCTATAACTCATCAGTGATGCTACATCATACAGCTGTTTCATCCTTCTATAACTCATCAGTGATGCTACATCATACAGCTGTCTCGTCCTTCTAGAACTTGTCAGTGATAGTACATCATACAGCTGTTTCATCCTTCTAGAACTTGTCAGTGATAGCACATCATACAGCCGTTTCATCCATCTATAACTCATCAGTGATGCTACATCATACAGCTGTCTCGTCCTTCTAGAACTTGTCAGTGATAGTACATCATACAGCTGTTTCATCCTTCTAGAAATCGTCAGTGATACTGCATCATACAGCTGTCTCATCCTTCTAGAACTCGTCAGTGATGTTGCATCATACAGCTGTTTCATCCTTCTAGAACTCGTCAGTGATAATGCATCATACAGCTGTTTCATCCTTCTAGAACTCGTCAGTGATACTACATCATACAGTTGTTTCATCCTTCTAAAACTTGTCAGTGATACTGCATCATACAGCGTTTTAGTCCTTCTAGAACTCGTAAGGGATACTGCATCATACAGCTGTTTCGTCCTTCTAGAACTCGTCAGTGATGTTGCACCATACAGCTGTTTCGTTCTTTTATGACTCATCAGTGATTATACATCATACAGCTGTTTCGTCCTTCTAGAACTCGTCAGTGATGTTGCATCATACAGCTGTTTAGCCCTTCTAGAACTCGTCAGTGATGTTGCATCATACAGCTGTTTCGTTCTTCTAGGACTCATCAGTGATTATACATCATACAGCTGTTTCGTCCTTCTAAAACTCGTAAGTGATGCTAAGGCCCTAAATTGTGAAGTCTAAGACGCGACTGAGGGAAATTCAAAGTCACAGAAAGTCAAAATGTAGATAGGAAAATGCACTAGGCCCATAATTCAATAAATTTCAATTCAAAGACAGGACGGGTTATAGAAAGTGGAACGGAGAAAGAGAAGAAAGGATAGATACGGTGCCGACTATAAAAGGTTCGAACTTCACCTTTGACTGTCAAATGTTTACATCATTTGATATTATCACCCACGAAAGTAGCAATTATCTATG